GGCAGAAAAAATAGAAACAAAACCTCGTCTTCTAAACTTACATATACAACGACGCGGGGGAGGGCAGGAGATGTGGGTGCAACTAAACATATTGCACTATTGCAATCTAAGTGGTACAAGTAGCCGGATTCGCAATCACCGGTCTCTGAGCTCGGGCTGGTCGGCGTCCCGCGAACTCCCACAGAAATATTATAGACTGGAATAGAACTTTTGACTTGGTATCATCTGCTTTCACGATCCGTTTCTGGTCGGAACTTTTTTTAAGGTTTAATAGCATAATTTTGAGCACACTTAACAAATTTTGCGTGTTTTCATTCTAAGTCCCAGACCAGAGCTTATTTGAGCATGTTGAAAAACGTGGTGCTAAGCAGCGAACATGTATCATGCATGCATCTTTGAACTTATGAGATGTTAATGAAACTGTTTTATTCATATGTTTTGAGTCGCTACCGAGGCATTTTAACGAGTTTACTCAATAGATGCCTCCTAAAAAAAATTGCAAGTCCCGTGACGGTGAAGGAGTACGTGAGGTAGGTTATGGCGGCGCCATCCGTGCTGCCACCTGTGGACGGACATAGTAACTACTTCAGTGGTTTGGTTAAAGAACGAGTTTCCTATTTAGCACAAAATTTATTTTGTGTTCATAGTTTCCCTTGCACGCAAAAAAAAATCTGGCGGTAGTGCTAGATTTTTAGCACCGGTGCTAATTTTTTCGTCTGTATAGGCCCAGCTAATTTTTTAGCTGTACACCTAAAAGGAGCTAGCTGGAAGACATTAACTAGATTTACAACAGTCCGTTTGCACCAGTGCTATGTCAAATTTCAATATTGCTATTTTTTTCCCTATTTAAATACTCCATATATGTGCCCCACGATATTCGATTATTCGCTGTAAGTCAGAGTCGTGCTGTCTTGTGGCCGGAGTGAGGCTTCTGCCTTTGTGGAAAAATAAAAATTAAATTGGGAGGCATCAGACATCCAAGATGGACGTCCGTCTTCCGTTCCGAGTGCTGGACGGACTAACGTCTGTCGGCCCGAAATTTAACTTGAAAAGGGAGCGAAATACTCCAAACACCCAAAGCAATTGACACCCGTAGCAACCATCGAGATATAACAGAGAACTTTAGTCGGTGGTGCCATCTAGCGGAGACCTATGAACTTCTAAATCCAGAGGCGAGAACAGTGTTTCTTGGTGCAGCTTGCACATTTAGCAGTACAGCAAATTGATTCAGCTAGGCATGACACTTCTCGATGGATATGGACTAAGATGCAGACCAGACCGTTTTTGCGACAGCTAATTGAGGTCTAGATCTATAGCTAAACCGACAATCGTGCC